AAAGGCCAAAAATTTGATGATGCCACATTCAAAGGCCATGTGGAATGATTTATTCACATCTTGGCTGCATTCTGGTTTGCAACAGCTTACTTGCAATTGAAACTCCTTTATGTTCAAAAATTGTACTTCCAGATTGTTTGGGTTTGGGTTTGTTTGTTTTTTAGACTGCTTTGGAAGAGTATTTTAATGTGCTTTAAAAACGTTTTATATTTGTACTGTTTGCTTTTATCTGCTCATTGCCTTGGGAAACCTTGCAGGCTGGGAGGCAATCTACAAACGCCACAAATATTTGGATATCATAAAATGCAATGGGTTAAAGGTGTGGTGTTGTGTTGTGTTGGGGATTACCATCATGTGGAATGCTTCGATACACAACCTTTGCTGCTTTCTGGTTTGCAACAGCTTATTTGCAGTTGAAACTGCTCTTTCTTTACAAAATTGTACTTTAATATTTTTAGACTTTGGAAAGTTTTTCAGGAATATTTCAATGTGCTTCTGAAATGTTTTATATTTGCATGGTTTGCTTTTAGCTACTCATTGCCCTAGGAACCCTTGCAAGTGGGAGGTGGTCTACAAATGCCACAAATAACTATTTGGATATCTTGAAATGCAATGTGTAAAATGCAATGTCTTTTATTTAATGGCTGGTTCAAGCAGCAGTTTGTGCTTCAACCACCTTGTATGATTTGTAAAGGCCCAAACTTCAAGCCAATTGCTTCCATGAGGACTAGAGCCTTGTCTTTTTATCAGCAGAAGCTGCTGTGACTTCCCTGGAGTAGGGAAATTGGGCTTTTACATTTAAATTCTGCTGTGACTGTTGATCTGGTTTTATGTTTTGGGTGCATTCTCTCTTTTTTAACCATTGCAGCCTTGGATTTGCATCTTTGGTTGCGGAAGCAGAATGGATCATGAGCTTAGCTTGTGATTTTAATTATTATTTTTATTATTTTGGATGCAGAGCAACTAGAGAGATAATTAAATTTTATGGGCTGGATGCGGAGGAGAACTGAGACAGCAGTAAAAGTGCTTTTGAATTTGCAAAAGGGTCTACAATGGCATCCAGCCATGTCTGCTTTTTGCAATGTGGATTCATTGCCACAGGAATAGGGGATGGGTGGCAATACAGATTTTGACAGACTACAGACTCCATCATCCCTCACCACCAATTCTGCTGGTTGGGGAAGATGGGGCTTGTTGTCCCACAATATCCAGAGGGTCATACTCTTCCCCACATTGTGTAACACTTTCCCACAGTTGTGGAAAGATGGGATTTTTGCAATGCTCTAAGTCAGTGGTTGCCAAATTTTGGTCCTCCAGGTGTCGCGGACATCATCCCCTAGAAGCCCCGGTCAGCTTGGTCAACAGTTGGGAATTCTGGGGACTGAAATCTAAAGGACCATCTTCCCAAATCAATGGCATGGAAAGATCCTTCCTCACATTTATGCCCCAGAGATGTTGTTTGGTGGTGGTTGTGGGTGAGAATCCCAGCCTAAGAAGAAGGGAGCCGAAGAAGGGAAGGAATTAGACTTGGTATATTCAGTGAATAAAATTTTCCTATAAAAATAGAGACATCGAACAAAGAGGAGGGGTGGATATTTCCTTCTGGTTTTGTTTAAATTCTCATAAGAATCTGGCTACTGATGGGGAGTGAAAGGGGACCACCGGTCAAGCTTGTGGCACTT